AACATTTCGAATACATAAATAAATTAAAAAAACTTTTAAAAGGAGAGTGGATCGACTACGAATTCAGCAGGAATCTAGGTGCATCTGCGCTGCCGCCAACAAAAGATTATTTTCTCCTGTATTCGAACAGAAGGAAGACGCTAAAAATGAAGCTGCCAAAATGGCATTCATTTCTTTTTGCTAAATTTTTTTTTTTTTATTTTATTTTATTTTCTTTTTTTTTAAAAAAAAAATATGTATTGGATTTTTTTGGGGGGTTCAATTAATTCTCGTACTTAGTATAAAAATTATATTTGTAGAGGCATTAATTTTTTCACTTGAATTTATAACAATTCAAATTTATTTTCAATAAAAAATTCTACTTTTCTAATATGGGAGGTTTGCTATTAAAATAGAGTACAAACATAGTAAATCATATGATCCGTAACGTGATTTTAATAGCTTAACTCACAATAATAAAATAAATATATTCATAGTTCATCGGAATTGATAAAATTTCGTTTTATAAACTTTATAAATAAAGATTTTTTTTATTAAAAAGGTAATACAATGAAATCAGAACTTGTACTACAAAGTATTTTTTTCAAGTTTATATTTTTTAAGTATAAGGAACGCTGATGCATTTCTCTCTCTCTCTTATTTCTCTTAAAATAAAATGCCTAAAACAACAAAAAATCACAATTACACTTGCCGCGCGCAGCGACAACAACAACAGCAACAGCAACAACAACCGAAACATCCTCCACCACCGTAAAGCAACGGGACAGGATTATGACGAGTACATTCGTCGTATACGAATAGAAAAGCTAGAAGCAACTATAGTGACGTTACGTATGCATTATAGGTTATTCAAAATTTTTATTTTTATTATACCTCTCATTCATATGAATTTTTTTAGGGGAAGAAGTTAGAAGGTTGCTGAGAAAGAGGAGGAGAAGGAGGAATGAAGGTGATTTTTCGTCTCTTTATGTATCAAGTATTAATTTAAAAGCTTAAAATTTTTATATGGTGCTAATCAATAATATCACAAGTTTTTATTAATTTGATCTTTAAAAACCTTATCATTCATTGTATAGATTCCAATGCTCTGACAACATTGATGGGCAGAATTAGTTATATTAATAATAAAAAAAATGTATTATGCAAAGATCATTCCGTAATTTAAGACACTTTGCTACTTCTTTATGATGCACAAGTTTATACGATATAATTTTAATGGGTAGATTATTAAATTTTGTCATCTATCTATTATACTAGGGAAGGTTTTATTCACAAGTGTAACGAAAGAAGAGGCCAATCACGTATCAACTCTCGTCGACCATACGTTACGTTCTAGACTAATTAAACTTGACATCGAAACGTTGAAATGATAAGATCGCGTGCTTTTCTTCCATGTGCCAGTCAGATTTTTTAAATTAAAAAAAAATAATTTTTTTTCTTTTTTGATTTCTATGTAAAAAATCCAAGTATTCCAGTGGGAGCGAACTACCAATATCGAATAAATTAACTCGTAATTAATAAAGTCAAAATAAATTAAGGTTGCAGGGCAAAACCCAAATCACATTTTAAAAAGTTGAAATCTTTCGATCTCAATAGTTTTGATGAGTTTTGCCTGACAACATTAAAATAAATATATTTTCTTTTTCTATTATTTCATCATGTGATTATTATTATTTTTTTTTTAATAAAAAGATACTATTGCATATGTTTACAAATAAAAATACGGACACCATAGTATAACAATCGATGAGTGGTGTAGGGTTGACAACATGAGGGGAGTGCTGGGAAAAGGGACCAAATTGACATTCAACAAAAAATTTTTTTTTTACTATAAAATGAATGTAAATCTAATTGGGAAACATTTTTAATTTAATATAGAAAGCATATTAGCAGCATAATAAAATCTGCACCACAGCCTTGTAAATCTTACGTTACATATATTCGGAATATATAATGGGAAATACAAAATACTATTTATCTCAAAATGAATAAATTGTCAATTTGGTTCCTTTTCCCAGAACTCCTCCCACATGTTATGATATACACCACAGTTTATAAAATCATTTTGTTATGTATAATATTTTAATAATTTAACTAAATTTAAGTAACAAAAAGATGATTTTCTTTATACACAGTTAATTTTTTTATATCGGGCATTTAATGCGTGAATATAATAAAATTTAAGATTTGACTTTTCCAAGTTTTGATGATTCATTAAACTCAAATCAATTTCGCGTTCATTTAAAGCCAAAGCTCCGTTCTTTATATTCAAGTTCATCAAATATTATCTCATAATGATCATCTTCAGTATTGAATTAATACTTTTTTTTAGACTTTTTTTCTTTGTGATTTTGGTTTATGTAAAATTTTATTATATGTTGTAGGAGAATAACACGAAAAGTCACGACCTTCGGTAAGCAAGAAAGTTTGTCGAGATGGCTTGAAGCAAGTTTCATACGAAATCGCAAGGATTTGACATAAAGGATTGTATGTCGTACGTCGAATATTAAAGAAAAAGGCGGTGGAAATCCTGTTAGAATCCATCAAATTAATATATGGGCTCGAACACGAAATCATGGTGATACACATCAAATGAGTAGAGTATATCTCAATAAAAATAAGAACAATCCGACCACGATTTCTTTCAGCCGGGATTTTTAATATATAGTTTCGATTTTAATTTCTTATGTTGGGCTGAAACAGTTGCTTTTTTTTCTTTGATGTTTCTAGAGCATTATCTTGAAATTAGAATTTTTGTAAGATTAAAATGTAGCGATTGCCTGAATTATATAATGCATATAGTTTCATAACTACTACTGTTAATATGTTTTAAAATGGTGAAGAAATTAATAAAAGCAACAGGATCCAAATATTACATTTTTTCCTTATATAATTTCAGAGATGCTTTATATTTACTGATTAAGAACGGCTTGCTGGTTGGGTTCGCGGAGTTCCAGAAATAATACATTGTATTAATTTGCAAAGCAGAATAATGTTGATGAATTTCATTATTTAAATTATGAATGTGGCTGCGGAAATTTCATTCTTTTTATAATAATTTTAAAAAAAAATAGGAATAAATATATAAGAATAAGTTGGCTGTCTGGAAAGTTTGCTATTAAAATCACGTTACGGATATATGCATTTCTATTTTTAATAGCAAATTCAATAAATGAAAGATCCAGCAGAAAATTATAGAATACAAATAATGATAATGAGTAATCTAGGGAAATTCTCTAAATATTACATGCTTTATCATATATAATAAATAAATTATTTGAGCAATATAATGATATTCATGATCTTCAAAGGATAAAGAATGTATGAGAGAAATTTAAAAACTATAAATGATTAAATAACGGATAAATTAAAACGTAAAAAAAAAAAAAAAGTACCTATAATTCATTCTCTAACGAAGGTAAGAATTAAAAAGACAATACATCTATATCTATCATCATATGGGTTGATTGCTAGGAAAATCAGGTTCCGGGAATTTTTTAACGAAATTGAGATTTTTATTGCATTTTAGTTTTTGATGTTATTAGATTAAAAATGCATTAAGCTCTTAATTTTAGTCAAAAATTTCTCGGAACCTGAAATCCTCCATATGTTAAGATACTAATCACCTAATGTGAATGAATGTGATTTATCATAACCATTACTTTTATAAAACAACCCACATCTATTACACCTTGTATCACCTCCATACTTTCTCCAAGCAGATGTCGTATTTGTGCCACAAATAATGCACGTTTGAATCACTTTTGCCTTGTGTTTTGTTCTAATCACATGAACGTTGCCGTTTACATTTTCGTACGGACGATTCGTACCACGAGTCCTAAGGCTAAATCATAACTTATTTTATTAATACTTTGGAAAAATATTATAAAAAAAAAAAAATAAAACAACGGTACAATTCTTACTATAAACCACATGCGTTACAAAATGGTTTGCCGTCTTCCCCATATCTCCAAACGATACTACTTGATACATTACAATTAAAGCAAGACCTTTGTGAATATGGTGGAGAAATTGGTGCATTTGTAGTTGAGGATGTCGTTGTTGAAATATACGTTGATAAATTTGTAGTTGTTGTTATAGGAGCAGTGAAGGATTCATCTATGATGAAATCAATTCAAGGATTATATATACAGTATGAATAGACATATGTAGTAAAATAAATTTAAATTAGATTACCAAGTTTAAATATGCCAAGAATATTTCCATACGTATTCTTAAAATATAGAGTTGCATTGGCTTGGTATCTATCGTCAAAAGGAGGAATTTTAAATTGATGAAAGCTGATGCCTTCAATACAAGTCATCAAACAATACATGAATCTTGATTTCATATTGTCAGCAAATATGACAATGATGTCCATAGTAATTGAGCAAGTTAAAGCAAAGAATACGGTTTTTTCCCCTGGAGAATCAGAAAGTTTGATCGATTTTAATGCTGTTACTAGAATGCGGTATCAAATAAATTACATAAACTTACCTATTGCTGTCATAATTTAATTAAAAATAGGTAACTAGTAATGGATATTTGCGAAAGTAAATTAAATGAAGTATATATTATATAAGAAGTGGAACGGGTATCTAAAGTTATTACAAGAAATGAAATTATATTGTAACATAAGATGAGTTATTACATTTTTTGTCAAAATTCTTTCAAATATAATGAAAAAATGTCGAGTTAAGTAGCTGAAAGTTATTATTTCTTAAATACCTTAAAGATAAAAAAAAAAAAAAAAAAAAAAAAAAAAAAAATGAAAATGAAAATAGGGAAGCTTTTTTTTTTTACAAAAGCAATTCTCACTTTTTTTTATATGATAAATTGGTAAGCTCACCGATTTAGTAATGAGCTTTTTTTTTAAACACTCCTTTTGCATTTTCGTTTATTATCATATATATTTCAAATTGTTAACTCCTATAATTAACTTACAACTTCAATAAGATATATTCATTTTAAGTGAAAGTTGAAAGTACCGATTTAAAACATTCTTTTTATAATGTCGGAATCAATATTCCAGAAGCTTACCATTTCAAGATTAAAATAATTTTCTAATAATTTCACTAAAACGGTATGGATGCCATCCTTAATCGGTATTTTTTTTTTAAAAAAAAAAAAAAATAGGAGCTTTGATGTGCATTGTGCAACCTTGTAAGAAAAAAAAGATTACGAATATAATAATTTACTACTTTCAAAATCTTATTTAGTTGTCTATTCGTTTAAACGGTTCACAAAATTGAAAAAATTAATATTCGGATGTAACGTAATACCAATAATATGTATGATATTTTCAATATGATGTTCTAGGTTTTTCTATGGTAGGGATTGAATTTAGAACAAATAAAAAAAAAATTTAATCACATTCTAGACTATAATCAGGTCGAGTTGAATTGAAGTTGTGTAAATTTTGACGGATTCGATTTTATTATTTTGAGTATCACGTGTCACTTGTAACTTTTAGTGATACAAAGAAATAATCATCCTCAATATTATTAAGATGTTTATTTAAGTATTTTTGGATATCTGCAACAGGAGTATAAATGTTTTCTGAATATCAGGTTGTATAAAGCTTGTATCAGATAATGCATATGAATCTTTAATTCCTTTTACAACTTTTCTTAGGTAATTCAAGCTTTGTTTCACCATCATTCATTTCAACAATCCAAGAAACTTTTAATTGTTTGGCATTCATCACCTCTTAAATAGTACAATAAAGTTAGTCAGATCTAAACCTTTTGTAAATGGCTTTTAAGAATTTCTATTTTAGTAAAAGGTGAGTTAAGTATTAATTAAATTTCATCAATTTCTAATGGATCTGATTATTTTATCCTTGATTAACAATAGATTTCATATGATCATCCAAAGTTTTATGTAAACTTTAGATTGAAAAGCATCAAATAAGTTCACCACTCTAATTTTCTCAAATATTTTAGAAATTCCTTTTACTAAAATATAAAATCCAGTCTAATGATGATGATTTATATTTTTAACTATTAAATTTTCTTAATTTTACTAAAAATTATTTCAATTAATTAAATAATATTTTATTATCCCATTTAACAATTTTATTTAAACAACAACAGGCTTTATAAAACTTAATAAATAAACCAATTTACACATTGTTAAATTTTTCTGTATTTACATTTCTTGATACATTTTAAAATTTTAAAATTAATCAATAAAATAAATCACATTCTTATTATTAATAAAGAAGAATAAGTTAAATAACGTGAAAAAATTTAAGGAAAAAAAAAGCATGTGAAAAATAATGCAAAACAAAATTTTAAATTACTAATTATACATATACATAATTAAATATTATATTTAATAAGTAATACATTTCTAGAAATAATTCAAAGTAACTAAAAATTAATGCTGATTTTAGGTTAATTTTAATATTATTTATGATTAATTAGTCATATTTTCTAATCAATATAATAAACACTAATTGATTTCAATCAAATAAAGCTATTTAGCATCAATTTAAAATTTAAATTCAACCATAAATCAGTCTAAAATTGATCTCAATTTAGCATTAATTTAAAATTAATTCAAAATTTAAACAATTATAAATCAGTCTAAAATTAGTCTCAATTTAGCCAAATAAGCATATAAAATATGATGTAAAAAGATAATAAAATAATAAAATAATAATTAAATTATGATTTAATTTTCTTATAAAATCCTCTAAAAATATTTTAAATATTTATTTATACTTTAGCATTAATTAATTTTAATAATATCAAAATCAATTATGTCAATTCAACATTTATTATAATTATTAATAAATAATTATATTTATCAAAATATAATTTATTTGTCAAAATACAATATTAATAATATGATAATTTATATTTTATGTTGGATATATAACTTTAATAAAAATTATGAAGGGGTAAATAAACTATAATAATTACTTAAAAAATTATGAGTGAGAAGTCACAATAATTTTAAAGATTATTCTCAATAAAAATATGTAAGATAAACACAAAAATAAACATAAAGATATTTAGAGATTACACTTTAGAGGCTCTAAATCAATATAATAAATTAATATAGTATCAAATAATAAATATATTAATAATAATTAGAGAGATTGCAATAAATGCAAAGGGTTTACAAATAAATTATAAATAATTTTAAATATTATAAATAGTTATGAATAATATAAAGAATAAGTTTTATACTTGATTAATTATATTTCTTTATTAATATAATGATAAGTTTATAACTTAAAAAATTAACATTTCATTAGTTTACCTTTACTAAAAAGATAATGAGATTTAATAAAAATACAAAGATATTTATATATGATAGATAATTAATAAAATAACTTAACTAAAAATATTCATAGAAATAAAGTTAAAAGATCTGCAAGCAATAAAATTAATATATAAATTAAATAGAATATTAATTGACAAAAATGATCTACATATAGAAATGAAATTGAATAATTGATCAACATAAAAGATCTTAAAAAATAATATTAATATTAAGATTGCTAATAAATTTTTAAAATAAAAATTTACCTATTATAATATTACTATTATTTTAAAAAGTAGATAAATAAATAAAATATTAAAAAATAAAAAAATTATTTTTGAAATTGCTTAAAAAATATAAAAAAATAGAATAATAAATTCTTAAATTATCTAAAAACCATAAAATAATAAATAAAATAATAAAAATCAACTTTTAAAATCATCTAAAAAATGTAAAGATAATAATAAAATAATAAAAATAAAAAAATTAACCCTTTTCTATTTTAAATTACTTAAAATTTATCATTTTCTAATTATTTACTATCATATTATGTGATTTTTATTGTTTTTAGCAACTAAAATAAGTAAATTATTATTTATTTATTAATTTATTTTATATTATTTATTTATTTATTTATTTTTAAATTATATTATTTTAGAATAGTAATAACAAATTTTTTAGTAATTATTGAATGCAATAAAAATAGATTTATTTATTTATTTTTTTTAAATTTATTATTATTATTTTTTGTAAATTTTTTAATAATATTTATGCAATTTTGCAATAAGAAATCAGATTTAATTTATAAATTTATAATTTTTTTATTATATATAACTTTTATTTATTTAATTTATTATTTAATTAATGATTTTAATTTTTTTATAACTATTTTAATTAAATTACTTATAGCTAAAGATAGTCATCACAATTAAAAATGGCATAATAGAATTGCAACTTATAGTGCAATTAAATTTTCTTATAGAGTAATTAAGTTACAACTCAATTGAAATTTGAAAATAATTATGAGAATTATCTTTACTTATAATTGTAACTAAAGATGAACCTGTTACTATTTGTTAAAATTTATAATATTGTAAAATTTATAAATATAATTATAATACAAATTCATAATATAATAATTATTCTGCAATATTATAATTATTCTGATTTCTATTCTTTTCTTATTAATTCTAATTTCTGTTTTTTTTTCTAATGATTTTAATTTTCTAATAATTTCTAATTTTTATAATTTTTAATTCTTATTCTTTTTACTAATGATCTTTAATTCCTATTTCTTTCATTAATAATTTCTATCATTATTTTATTTTTTATTAATATTTTCTACTATTATATCATAGTTTCTTATTTCTTAAAATACATTATATAAAGAATTTACAATAATATTAAAGATTATTTTTAATATAAAACACAAAAATAAACATAAAAATATTTTAGAGAATATGTTTTAAAAATTCCATATTAATATAACAAATCAATATAATATTATATAATAAATTTATTAATAATTAAAGGATTGCAAAAATATGTAAAAAGATTCAAATAGTTAGATATAATTTTAAGTAATTATGAATAGTTGCAAAAGATATATTTTATACAGTCATACCTTTATATAATCACTCTCTATATAAGCACAACCTCTGTATATTCACACTTTTATTGCGTTCAAATCTTTAATTAAAAAAATTACCTTTATATAATCACGATCATATTGTAATCATTATTACACTGATAATATGCACCTATCCTTCTTTTAGTAAAGTAAATAAAACCTTTGTATAGTCACGTCATATAATTCTAATAGTGGAAAGATCTATGGCCTAATAATCAAGATTCCGTTTTGATTGCATAATAATCTGTGTGACACACAAAGTTTTCTCAAGGTTTTTTCAGTTCATTCATAATGATAATTTGGATGGAAGATACTTCAGAAAGGTAAGTTCTTCTTTTTTTTAATGTTTTACTTTAAGGGATATATATTGATATATATTAACTCTATTTTTTATTTTTGTAAGTTTTGGTTTCTCTAGAATGGCA